TCTCGAACAACTGTTCAGAGATTGACTGGGACACGTTTCACGGGCTGCAATAATATGTGAAGATATGTCTTGCTGACACGCCAACACTAGATGAGAGCAGAGAGCACTTGCTCAGTTGCGAAACGGCATATGTGCCGGAGCCGACGTGATATCTGCAAGTGTTGAAATACGCCGGACCCGCGTTGGTAAATACGATGCACCACTTGATACAATGCGTGTGGTTTGAAGAACAAGTGCCCTTTTGCAACCACTGTAGAAGCGCAAACGGAGCAAGCAATGTGTCATGAATTATCGTAGTATAAACTTTCTGAGCTGTATTTGAAAAACTGATGGCACGAATCCTGTTCAACCGCCTCGTCATTCAGATCTATGTACTAAACATGACGCAAGAGCAGTGCGGATTTCGTTCGGACCGCAGCACGATTCATATGGCATTCGCGGTTTGTCAACTGCAGGACTAATGTCGAGAACGACGCCAGCCATTGTACTCGGTGGTTCTCAACTTCACCAACCCATTTGACACGGTGAACCGTGAGACACTGTGACTGGTGTTGTTCGAGTAAGTTTGTAAGTTTTGTTGGATGTCTGCACATTGGTATCTAGGTGAGGGTGCACATGAGTGGACAAGCGCGGGACGACTTTGCTGCTGACCTTGGTGTGAAGCAAACTTGTGTCTTAGCCCCTGCCTTGTTTAATATTTTCTTAAATGCTGTTATGATGTCTCGTGCTTCTGATGCTTGTGGTTATGGTGTGGAGCGTTGTATAGGTGGCGGGCTGCTGAACATCCATCGTTTCGGGGCGAGAACTCGAGTTCGTGAAACAATCATCCGTACGCTGCTGTTTGCGGACGACGGCGTTGTTTGCTCACAGGGAGGGTGAGTTGCAACACGTGACCACGGCTCTCGCTTCGACAGTGACGAAGTTTAGACTCACTATAAACACAAGCAAAACTGTTTTCCCTTTTTTATCCGTCACCAGAAAGGAAATCCGTGGACTTACACAAAATCCAGGTTGTTGACGACGTTTTGGAGACCAGTTCGATATTTTGCTACCTAGGGAGCGTGTTTTCTACCGACTCGCAAATGACGTCCGAGCTGCACGCTCACATATCTAAGGCGGCTGCTGCATTTAGGATGCTGAAGACTCGGATGTGAGAGAATCGCCAGCTGACCGTTGGGATGAAGCTTTCTTTGTACCGGTGTATGATGCTGTCGGTCCTCCTGTACAGCAGCGAAACATTGACGCTGTATGGGAAGGACATCAAATATTTATAGCGCCTTCATCAACGGTGCCTTCGTCAGGTTCTGCGCATCGGTTAGTCTGACAGAGTTGCTGCACGGAAGTGGCATGTATGCCATGGACTGCATACTTCTGCTGCTGCACCTGAAACGCGTAGGATACTGAAAAAACAGCTGTATGGCCAACTGTATGCACGGGAGCGTCACGTGAGAAAGCCGAGGCTACGTTATTGGGACATGATCATGTTAACAAGGAAAGGCGTCATCAGCACGCCGGCATAGCGTAACGACGCTTCGCTGCCACCCAACCACTTCCAAGCGCATGCGCTGGAATCCACGACCTCCGGCTTGTCGAGCAGAAGACGTCTTGTTCTTGCTACTACGTGCCGGCCATGGTCGAGATGAGTTTATCACGAACTAATGTCGAGAATCAAAAGCAGTGGATCGGCGCCAATGGCGTGACCACATCAAGAGAGTGGTTACCCACTTGTACGATAAAGGATTGTTGCCTTTGAAAGAGAAATGCTGGATACAGAATGCACAGGTGGCGTTGGAGTCTATGCGTTTGCAGTCAAGCGCAATGTGCGGTAACACTTGCGGTCATGAGTGCCTCAGCCAAGCCGATCTGGTAAGCCGCCAGCGTGGCCACCGGGAGCCAACATCGAAGAGTCAGCAAGTAAGCTGAATAGGTAAGCATCATCAGCACAGAGCTTGGTAAGTACGTTGCTTGTGATTCCATTTATTAACCCAGAAAAAATGTGTTCGTTGTGGCACGTGGGCTATACCATCGTTGCAGTTGCTCTGTACGTGTTCCTGCATTTTTAGTTTTTTTTTGCATTTCAGATGTTGGCTGTTGTTTGATATCCGCGGTGTGGCTGCGCTTGATGTAAATGCTAACAAGGTGCCTGTCTGTCGAGAAACTTCCATCTCCAATATACTGGCGCCAGCATATCGCTTTGTGTACCTCTGGTACGCATGATTCTCCGAGTAGACAGGAATGCTGTGCATACTGAAGTATTGTGGGCCGGCGCCGATAAAATCTTGCTCTCACCCACATGTACCCCGGTCTCATTCCGCGGATGTGGGTTGTGTAAATGGGGTGTGTAAATGGGTTTCTCTGTAGGTGCAAGCGTCCTGTGGTTGTCTTATGGAGGCCGCAGTGACCGACAAATCCGGAGCCGGATGCTGTCAACCCCATTAGAGTTTGTAGATGTGCGGCTGGTTTTTGGATTGTATTCCATCGGGCCGTTATCTTAAAGAGGGATCAAAAGAAATTTTCAAGGTGAATCACTGAAATTCTTAGAGTAGCTAGGATCAACCAGATATGCAAGAAGAAGTCTTTATTTAGTGGTTAGTCACATCCTCCACTTCGCGGTGTTGTTAAACAGATATTTGTAAAAAGGCATCAGCAGTACGCTGGTAGGCAGTACCGACGCTTCGCTGCCACGCAGTCACCACCGGTCGCGTGTGGACTAGAGATACTGCGAGGGTCGCCCGCCCCTCTACGCAGACTCGAATCCGCAGGTTTGTGATCCTTAAGGTAACGGACCGGCGATCCTTATGCCCACAAGCCGGCATTTGTAGCTTTTTATAGAGAGGACGCTTGTCAAGCAACAATTATCCGTTTTCCTGAAATTCTACCGCCGAAGCCATTCGCTGGAGCTGGACAAACCGAAATCACCCAACTGGCACCCTTGGGAAGTTGTTCGGCGAACCAGCCTTGCTGATAATCATGCTCTGTGTAAGTCTTCAACTCCACCTTCACGTGGAAATGGATTACCAGATTCGCACTCGTTATTTGCTTGGTCTATTACTTTAGATCCCGAAGCTGCTACATGTCTAATGGACATATGGAGATCGACCCATAAGTTGCATTTTACTAAGCGCAAACGCTTACGTTGGATTCACCTTGCTTCTCCTACCCTAGATCTCTCAACAGAAAGCTCATTTATAAGCAAGCAAATGCACCACGAGCGGTTGTTTCGGGTTTTGCTAGCGGATACAAGCCTTTTATTATTAATCTTATTCAGTTCATCATTGACGCCTAGTGCGGTCATACGGGAGATGAACAGATGATTGAGTACGGTTTTATGCACGCGTCACATCAGAAATGTCTTTTCTTTGTGTACAGTGTTTTTGAGCGAAGTCACTGTAGTTCATTTCAGTGTTCTCCGTCGTCCTTAATCTAGATTGTGTCAAGATACTTTTGAACTTAAAGCCAAGTATCAGTTGTCTGACTTTGGGAATTTCAAACAACTTCCAACTTTGTCTTCACACCTTGATGCCAACTTACTGTAAAGCAGTTAGCTCAGATACAAATATCGTTTGTTTCTGTTGTTATTCCATGTGTTGCCGCGAAAAATGCGCACAGCCTCTTATACTCTACCACACCGTAGCCTTCAACGAACTTTTCAAATCACTCGCCATCATCGCGCACTCTGATCGGTACTCTTCCAAGGCCCGCTTCTGGCCTATTTACTTTGATTACAAGTCCAGGGAAGGAGTCAAATCGGTTGTTTTTGTCATCTCGGCTCATTACGATATATGCGAGGCCACATTTTTTACATTTGATTAGCGTATGTTATTTTCTGATAAATTACCTATCCAACTGTTGCCCATCTTTCGTAACTGACCAACCGTGCTTTACAGCAGGTTGATAGCCACGTAGTACCAACCGCCGTCGGATAACGTGTAACTGTTTTCAGTTTAGTAAAGTGCTTCTTCTATACAACTTTGAATCAGCTGCACATTTTTATTTTGGTATACCAACCCATACTGATTTTAATCCGCAACGTGCTTGGGTATGCGTAGCGAGTGGTTCGGGTGTCTGACTTGCAATATGCGCACCATGTGTTCGAGCTTGCGTTCCTTTTTTGGGTTTCAACGATCTGGCTGTGTTACCGCCGGCGAACAGTCATCTGGAATTGCTTGGCAACAAAACATAAATACTACCAGCACTCTGTCTCTCCTACTAATTATCATATCGGGTCTTCGTGTGTGCTTGTTAGCACGACCTTATTATAACTTGGGACACAGTTTGTGACTGTGCGGGTACACGTCAAATTGAATCCTGCCTTCGAGTTAATTTTACTTCATTTCTAGCGTGGCACAGAGGTGGTCCGAGTCTGTTTGTCATCTCAGTCCATGCCCTTCGTTTCTACACGACGTCATCACCTTTTTATCGTTCCTACATAACCTTTCTCTTTTACGCTTACTACCGCTTAAACCCATCCTTGCACACCCTTCTATGGCATTCTGACCTTGCGGGTTCCCGCAGTTGATTTATTTATGTTCATTTTCAAACATCCAACTTTGACATTGAGGGGAATCAGTCACATGCGGGACATTTTTATCTGCACCTCACGTTTTGTCATTCACAATGCTCGGAGTTAGCAGTGGACAGTAGAACAAGTCACGTAGCCACAATGTAGTCTCACAATTACGTCCGTACTGGGTAACGGTTATCTGTCTCAGTTAAATATAACTTCTCCCTTCTTCATTTGTGATCCCGTTTAGTAAATAATGTTGATTCTGCTGCGTTTAGCATTGGAGCGGCACTAGAAATTATTGTGTACGGCAAATACAATCGTGTGTCCCTCATCCATTTGTATCGTATATCTTGCACATTCAAGCCGTCATCAGCCAGCACTAAGCATCGCTTGCCTGTTATGATTCGTAGAGCTTATTATCGTGCCCTTTACGTATGTTAACTGTTTTTTAAAAATCCATCTTATGTTCTCTCTTCGCCCTGTTGCATGACAGTCAAAGCAACGTCAATTTGGTTGGGCAAATTGGTCGGTTATTTGGTTAGTTTGTCTATCAAATTGTACCGCCCCAACTCCGCTGTCTCCACACCAAGCTCATCGAGGTCCAGTGTACGCCATCAGTTTAGTGAACGTCGCCGTGCCGACTACGCTACTCGTCCCACAGGCATTTCTCCAAGCGATTCTGTGAACACATTCAGTTCATCAGACGAGAATCAATCGGTTCGTTCCATGGGACCGTCTTTTGATTTGAATGACGAGGGTATGTCCCCTAATACATGTCACTACGCTTTTGTTTCTCTGCTAAACGTTTTATTTTGCCTGCAGGTACACTGTTTTTTTAATAATAATCATACCACTAATACTAATAATATATTCTCTGGTTTACGAGATATGGCCTTCACGGCATAATCAAATTTTGTATTTGTTTCACATAACATTTACAGCATGTTCCAAATGTCAGACAGGAATAACAACTGCGTTTTTAACATGGTTGTACAGTACAAAGTTTCGAATGGGCACAATAATTCGTGGCGTCCTGACAAAGAGCTTGGTGTACAGACGGCATCAACTTCTCTATCCTTGCTTGGGGGATGAAGAGCACTTGTGTGATAATAAGAACAACACTGAACTGAACACTGAATTTGTGCATTAAACATCTGATTTGGACTAACCTATGTTCCATACAATGTGGCGCTCTATGCAGTGATGCATAGACATTTCCACCTCATGTACATTTAGGTCGAGACAGGTAGAAGTGGAGATTTATTTGTTGTGCGTGAGACTGACCTGGTCGGCATTGGACCACACTGGTTCATGCGTTTTGCTTTGACTATACGCTAGGCGTAAGCGCGTACAGGGAAAAATGAAGACAAATATTGGAGTTACGGATGAGCATGAAGTAAGCAGAATCGGTTGGCTTCTCCCTACCACACGTTTACATGAGGTCAACAAGTGAAGTGCAGCCAAGTAAGAAAAGGACGGATAGTAAGCGTGAATGAAGATGAATAGATTCAGTCAGCATTTCCTTCCCAGCTCACACTTTATCGTATGGCTGTAAGGTAGGTATGGCTGAGGAAACAAAATATGAAGAGTGGGGAAAATGCTTGAATCATCTCCAGTTTGCAATTCCTCTGCAACCCACACTTATGCATGCGTTTGTGAGGTGTACTTTCCCGAATAAAGTAGGAACTAGGGTCAGATAAAGAAGAATGAAAGGGGTCCTGACAACATTTCATCTTTATTTCAATGCACCTCTTCTGAAGAGCCTGGTCAAATAAAGTCACTGAACATAACACGTTTTGTACGTAAGTATACTCAGTACACCCTAGTCTTCTCCCCTTCCTCAAATAGAATTTCTTCGTTACAATTTACTCGCGACATTGTTTTTACGTATTATAATTCGCATACTCTTATTCCATTAGGGTGGCTGTTCCAGATCTCAATGTATCGGTTTAGACAGAATTTTCTTCGGACCTTGGTTTCCGTTTTGAATAACGGGAGTTTCTTCTTTGCCTTTTTATTTACGTGTCTACCTTCTGGTTTGAAGTGAGTAGTGATATTTGGTGCGAATACGCGCTTATGGGCCACATTAAATAGGTGTATTTATCCCGGCTTTCTGCGTCTTAACCACAGTGGCTCTAGTTGTAGCATCTTACAACGCTCCGCCTAGTTATGTTTGGACGATAAAAAAGCACGAGCGACTTGTAAATGATCGCTGCACTTTTACTAGGCCCAGGCAGTCGCGTTTTCTGCCGTTTGTATGGACAATCCTGCAGTACTTTAGCACAATGCGAATACGAGCAAGTGCAGTTTAGATCCACACATGATGCGTTTTGCACTTCTTCTTGATCTCACCGTTATGAATTCTAATTGCTCACAAAATTCAAATTGCTACAGTATCGCATGCTTGTATCCCGCATGGTATTAACTCACATACTAGTTCTGTGGTACTGTTAATTGGTGATCGGAGACTCATCCACCTCACAAGTGACCTCACTGACACCAGGCTTCCTGAGGCCAGTGGACCGAATGAGTTGGAAGAGCCTGCGACTGAGGGCAGCGGTCTCCATCTCTAAAGCACGCTCAGATCACCATATCCCGCGATCATTGCGTAGGCTTTGCTTGAGCAGCCGGTTGGCAGAACGGCGCCCGCTCGTTGCAATCTGATTCCGCTGGGATATCTTTGCGGCGTTCGAATAGCTCCGGAGAACGAGCGGAGATCCAAGCCTTCAAGTGGCGTCGAGTTAGGCCGCAGCATGACTGTTCGGAAATGGTCATCGCTCTCTGTATACAAGACCAGTGTTGTTCCACTTCTTGCGGTGGATTGTAACTGAGTGCATATGCCAGTGATGACTGATAGTTCTTTTGAACAGAGGAATCAGTTAATCTGTTTACATCAATCTTGCGGTGCTTCGTGTTTCGCGATCCTCCAAAACACATACAGGTTTTCGCGCAGACCAGAGCATGATCTGAGTCAAGGAAGGTGGACCAAAAGGACCTGCAGTCCATTACGCTGTCTCGCCATCTGAAGCTAATTGCAATGTGATCAATTTGGGACCACGGTTGTGTCGGTGAAGGGGGACGCCACATTACGGAACGCTTCTTCGTACGTCTGAAGTTAGCGCTCGGAAGAAACAGACGGGAGACGTATTGTTGAACAGCTCGAATTTCCGGAGAGATGCATCTTTGATTGCGTCCCCAGGAATAACCACGAGGAGAACGAGGTAACCCAGATTCAGCAAGTCAAGAGCGTTAGAACGAATCCAGCCCATTCAGAATAGGACATGCGGAAGCGAAGGTACTAGGGCGGATCAGCGAGCGGCGACTTCAGTGACCGTCTGAAACTGATGCATAAATGTGACACCGTGCGAACGGACACTGTGTGGTGCGTGATGGTCAGGAAATACCGTCTATACGTGCACGCGTGCTTGCTAGCCTGTGGACCCATTGGCAATAAAGTCTGTGCGCCCCTACCGCTCGTTCTCACTACAACAGTACCACCAGCCACTCGATGATCCCTTGATTCTCAATAGCGAGGAACTCGAGGTATTTGATCAATTCATTTACCTTGGTTGCTGCATCATCAACGATGGTGGCCTAGATAGTGAAATCTGTTCACGCATTGCAAATGCCTGAACTGCCTTCTTTAATCTACGACATCTCTGGCGACAGCAATGAGTTTCTTCCCGTCCAAATGGCCGCGTATACAAGGCCACAGTGAGGGCCGCCTTACTCTATGGAAGCGAGTCTTGGCCCCTCCGATTTGAGGACCCGCCGCGTCTTCAAGTCTATGATCATCGTTGTCTGCGAAGCATTGCTGATGTTGGGTGGCACCAGCGTGTCGTCCACGATGAAGTGCGTATGTGATTGCTAGGCAGTGATAATCAGGTTAGTTCCTTGGAACAACGGTTAGCACTGAATAAGTTGGATTGGCTTGGGTACGTACTACGTATGCCTGGTCACCGCTGACTGAAGAGGGTCTTGTTTAGTTTTCGCAGGGTGACGCAAGGCTCGAGGTTTACAGAAATTGTCTTGGCGGTGGAAATGAACTCACTGACGACCAAACTTTGTGTGGTCGGTCCGTCTCGCCTTCCAGGCTGGAGTCCACGTAACCCACCTTGTGCTTGGCTGGCAATCGGCACTAGTGGTGTGTCTTCTGTCGTCTTTTAGTCGGGCTGCCTGTTTAAAGTCTGTTTGGCACTGAGTTATCTGCGGGGTAATGACTGATTATGACACGGGGAGTGAAAGCCGCTGGGAAGCTGTTTCGCCGATGCCTCCTTATCCTTCGCATGATAGCCAGGTGTTTGCGGTGGTATGCTGTTAACACAATGTGTGTGTGCCTTGACCCCGAAATGTTTGTTTAGGGCATTACAGTTTTACTGTAGGTCCCGCTTCTCTCTTATTGTTCTTTCCGTAGGTCACCATGGTTGCATAGCAGCGAAGCATCAGTTTAAATGGCCGATGTACTGCTATTGGTGATGATTTGACACGATTTTGTCTATCCTTATTGTCAACCTTTAATCGTTCCCTCATCCTTTTCTGTGTCAAATAAACACTAATCACAGAAGTGTGATTATTTCAACACTGATAATAGGATTGATGCTTTTATGTGAAACTTGTTTCCTCTCACTTTCACTCGGTCTCTGTTGGGCTGATTAAAGTGAAGTCCACATAGAATTTGAGTTTGTATATTTATGTTTAATTTTGCCTAATCTTTGGTCATATCCCTCTCATCGAAATGCTGTCGGTCTTTTTCACTTCCTGCACATGAATCCTCCAGCATACGCTACACTCGACTCGTTTCAGATTTGGATTCCACAGTGATGCAACTGTTGTGCTGATATTGTTGAGCCGATGGTTCGCATCTATTTTTTTATCCTTTCAGAATGTGTGGGGTTTTCTTTTAATCGGACTCGCTTGCTACGCAAACGCTAATGCATAGACTGACCTTTTGTACTTGACTCCTTTTTAAGGCGGAGTCGAAGCCTTCAGTTCTGACAGTCATGAAACGGCTACTCGGATGCAACGGCCGGTCTTCCTATTTAGTTAGCGCATCACTTCTGCTAGTCCATAGTACAGCGATCATCGCATGCATTATCAAAACGCGTATGGATTACCAAAGCCTCTGTCAATTTTGAAGATGGTGGGGAGGAGAAATGATGCCACCAGTGCTACTGTGTAGATCAAGGGACTAACCGATCCACACTGGAGTTATTTGAAGACCGAGTGTGTTTGACCACTGATACCCATGGCCCATGGCTAACGCGGGAGCTGTATGAGCAACGCACCATCAAGGGGCCTGTTGAACCGTAATCATCTTCGGTGACTCGATCATATATCACGCATGCTTGCAGATCGGCCGCCCCTGTGTGCATTGTTTGCGAACACTACTTTTAGTTGGGTGAAACACAGGAGTTCATAAGGTGACTAATACGTATGAAAGGCTGAGTCGGAGTTAGCGTTTGTTGCTCAGCTGTATAAAGCCCTTAGGATCGGCCATATCATTTGTTAGATACCCTATCGGGTATGGCACAATTACGGAGTCAGGAGCGCTATTGCATTCGTTTCCCTGTTTCTGGCTCTTAAGCACCTCCTCTTTATTGTTCATTCCTCCCTCGTCATCATCGTTGTTATTGTTGTTGTTACTATTATTACTGTCATTATCGTTGCTTTGGCGATATGAATGGAGCAACTTGTGCCATTGCACCTCTATGTACGACGGTCAGTTGATGAGCTGGATCGACGGTGCGATACACTAAGAGTTCCAAGTAACATACACTTCAGCATCATCCGCCTTCCTTCTGCACTGACCGTTGGTTTTATGCCCCAATGGATGGTACCGTGCGGCTTGTGATAATTTGATGATAGATGTTGCACATCGTTCATCTTTTGACGCCCATCTACTTTCTGCTAGCTGCCTCTCCCTATTTTCTGTTACCCCAAGGAACTATGCTTGTATATTTGGATTTTCAATATTATCACTATAACTCGCTATTTTCCTGCCATTTTTCACAATTGTGTTTAGATGAACTCCTTCTGCTTGGTGGTTTCAACGGTCAGGATACTCTGAACAGTGTATGGGTATTTGATTCGAAGGCCTGGCGATGGAGACATGGACTAGGCATATCAATCGCAAGGGCCAGTTTCTGTACTATACCATATCCAAATCGTCCTTACGCAGTTGTTTACGGTGGGTTTAACGCAACGGCTTCTCTTGGCGGTTTCCTGAATTCTGTTGAACTTATTTTGACTAATGAATTTTCTTCCGACTCGACTGACCAGTTTCATTATTGTGGATGATGTATGCACCATGCTACCGCACCCCTAGATCTCCCCTCACTACCCACTCAGATCCGGTTTTTTCTTCCGTACCACCTTTTCATCTTCATCGCATCTTTTTCTTCTACCTCTTCCAACATGTCCACCAGTCGAGTAGGAACGTCAGGTACAGTTCCACTCAGTTTTATCAAAGCTCTCAGTGTATCAGTGTTTTAGCTTCTGTCTACCTTGATACACCTTGCACACCTCTTGACTCACCAGATTTCCACCTTTACTTCAGAATGTCTTTGCTTTGGCCGTCATTTGTCGCTTATTGCTGTTCTTATCTGCGTAAATTATTTGTGTCCTTGTACTCCTCTTATGCTAATTGCAATCGCACATTTGCTTTTCCTCAAATTTACCTTGTTCCGCCGCTCCACCACTGGATTATCACCGTTTTCTCCTACTTTGTCAGCCAATCCGGTTTCCTCTTGCACATATATTTCTATAGGATGGACACTTATTTCAGCTACCACTGGATCTTCCGTTGTTGCAGTCTAATGAAATGAAGACACGATGTCAACCGGACCAACATCCGAGCTTTCGTTGAGCTAACCGATTTGTGTACACAGTGGGAGTTATCAAGTGATTTTATCAGAGCTAACGGTACTTGTGCATGGAACATGTGGACTACAAGCAGACGGTTCATACTCGATTTGTGAGTTTGTTTCGGGATCGTGTTACTCTGGAAGAGGTTTACATATTAATGCAACAAATAGTGACCGCTATCCATTAGGTAATTCTCTGCTCAGCCATATTCGCATCCAGTGAGGTAATCCGAGTTCTTTCTCTCTATTGCGGCTAAGCCTGCGGAACTAGCATGCTTTCGGGGAACTTTGAGCTCGAAGTGTTCTCTCTCCATAAGAATTCAGACAAATATGCTTTACGTGGGTGCGGTGATGAGGATCGAATTTTCTGGGTCATCATGACACAGCTGACTGTATCGCGATTGAAAACATAGGGCATATGAAAAAACGAATTACAAAACATTATGGGATACCTTATAAATGTTACTGGGGATGCTCAATGGGCATACATTTTTTGCTACAGTTATTAATCGCCTGCTTTCTTTTCGCCACCGTTTGTTTCCTGACATTTGTTTTAACGCACTATTCTGTTGGCTGGCCTAAGTCGCTCATAACGGGTACTATCTCAGGGATTTATTTCCGTTTCCTCGAACTCGCCTGATTGGATTTTTCTTTGGCCACTCGCTCGTATTATTCGTTGTTTCCTATAATGTTGCTTGGCTCCAACGTGCTGTAGTATCTTTGCTTCACAACCTATTGTACCCTATATAAGGAAGCAGTGTTCTCATGTTTACAACTCGGTCCTGGCTCATCTTTTTGTTCTTCTTGCGGTTATGGAGGCGTTAACAAACGACGACGCAACAGCTTCTGAGGACGGAGAAATTGACGAATCATGGCCGTTTCTTTTGAACGAATGCAGGCGCTACTCCAGCAGCAGATGCAATTCGAAAAGTCACAGCGTCCGCTAATCGAGTTGTTATCGCAAAAGCAGGATCTCCAGGACCGGCTGCACAACCTTCCGTGCACTCTATTACGGCGTCAATTTCAAATTGGCTGATGTCACCTTCGAATTGTGGTTCCACAACTACGAAGCTAGTTTCCGTGTGGAGTTGGCTGAGCGAGTTGATGCCAGAAAATCCTGTTTGCTGTTGCTGAAACATAGCAGTTGAACATGAATGATACACAAATTTTGTGGTGCCCACGAATTCCAGGCTTCCGTTTCGAGGAGACGGTGAAAAGATTGACAGATGTTCAGTGAGCAAACGTCCTTAATTAGTATTCGGTACAACTGTTTATAATTTATCAAACGAGATGCATATGATTTCATCACATTTGCTGGCATCGTGAACCAAGAGTGCGAACCTTTTAAACTGAACACAATGACAGCTGCTCAATTCAAGTGCCTTGTCTTTGTATTCAGTCTTTAATCCCATGCGGACTCCGATGTTCGAACGCGTATCTTTCACAAATTGGAACACAAACCGCAGTTGATATTGCAGGTGATTGTTGCTGAATGCCAGAGGCTGCTAAATCTGAAACATGACACAAAAATGATGAAAAATTTGGATTCCGCAAACGTCCACATCTGTCCCACAGCCGTTTGCTGCAGCAATGTGACTCCAGATGTGCCGACTCGGAAGCCCCCCCCCCCCACTGCGTTTTGTAACTGTGACGATTTGCACTTTGCGAGAGATTGTGAGTACAAGGATCATCAATGTCACAAATGTATCAGGATGGCTTTTAAAAAATTCGCTGTCGAGATCCGCACAACTTTAGACGGATATTTACTCCAAGGGTTCGAGCAAACTCCAAGTTCAGGAAGACCAGATTCCATGGTGCAAAGAAGAAGCGATTCTTACCGCATTTCGCACAGAATTCGCAAGCAACAGAAAGTACCTACCTGTGAAACCCAACGATGTTCCGGTATCGTTGCAACTAGATACAGCGTCTGACATCACCATCATCTCCCGATCGACATGGCTCAGTTGGGCGAACATCTAGTCAAGCATAAAAGTTTCAAGGCTCAAAGTGCATCAGGAGAACCATTGTCGCTAAATGGAAAAAGTGACTGTGAGCTCGAGTACAATAATTTGCAACTCCAGAGCAGCATCTACCTAGCTCCTTGCACCGATATTACTCTACTCGGTTTGGATTGGATTATGAAACTAAATCTACTCGATGAGTCACTGAATCGTGTGTGTTCCGCTCAGCCATGCTCAGCCATGCTGCCATACCGACTCATTCCAGTGGAATCCTCTCTGAACGTTTTTACGTGATGTACCTTTACGTCTTGCGATCTGAGCTTGGACGCTGCACAAAAATGCAGATAAAACTCTTCCTCGACGCAGAAGCAGTATTTCGAACCAGACGTCTAGTCCCGTATGCTTCACAGATACTCGTGGAACGAGAGCTTGAACGTCTATAACGGGCTGGTGTGATCGAACACATCAGTTTCTCACCGTGGAAGCTAGAAGGCACCTCCCGGCTGGTTCTGAACACAATGTGACCAGACGGGCTATTAGGCGTGAACTAAAGCGGAGCCTACGTGCTGACAAGGAAGCCTGGTGGACCAGTCGGGCTCAAGAAATGGAGGAGGCAATTACCGGAAGCTCTTCCAGCTAATACGCACCACTGGTCCGAGAAAACCAGGCGTCAGTGAGACAATCAGGGACAGCGCGGGTGCGCTGATACACAATAATGAGCGCCGTATGGCTCGTTGGGCTGAGCACTTTGAACATCAGTTCAGCTGGCCCCCTGCTCCCGGACCTTTTCCTACTCAGGTGATGCAGGACGAGCCATGGACGGTTAGTTTAGAGTCTCCGTCGGAGGCCGAAGTCCGAAACGCGATCACAGCCCTTAATCGTTTTCGTGCCGCTGGCCCGGATTCCCTAGCACCTGCACTATTTAAGGATGGTGGTGAGGTCCTCTGCAAAGCACTGACCTCCCTATTCGAACGTATCTGGAACGAAGAGTGTGCCGGCTAATTGGAGCGAATCGATTATAGTGGCAATATACAAGAAGGGCAGTCGCACAGACTGTGCGAACCACAGGGGTATTAGCCTAACGCCAGTTGTGACAAAATTACTGGCCTCGATTATCGTTCGTCGCCTCACTGCAGAACGGGAATCTCGGATTAGAGAAGAGCAGGCCGGTTTTCGCCCAGGACGTGGCTGTATAGACCATATATTTACTTTGCGGCAGGTGCTAGAGCAGCGCCACGCATACCGCAGACCGACAATAGCTGTGTTCCTCGATTTCAAGAGTGCGTTCGATTCAGTCGATCGGTCGATTCTGTTCGAAATACTTGTGCGGAAAGGTGTTCCCACGAAATATGTGAACATCCTTCGTGCTCTATACTCGAACACTACAGGCCGCGTCAGGGTCTATGGTGTCCTGTCAGATAGCTTTTCGACTACAAGTAGCGTTCAACAGGGTTGCCCGATTTCCCCATTTTTGTTCAATTTCGTCGTGGATTCTATCATGGAGTGTTCCCTTGCGGAATCTCACGATGTAGGTGTTGAAGTGCTGCCTGGTGAACGGTTAGTTGATCTAGATTATGCGGACGATATCGTCTTGCTTTTCGACAATATTGAGGCGGCACAATCAACCCTGAATAGCCTATCCAGAGTGGTCCCATTATTTGGTATGCACTTCGCACCTTCAAAGTGCAAAGTGTTGCTGCAGGACCACCAGCCACTCGATGACCCCTTGACGCTTGCTAACGAGGAACTCGATGTGGTTGATCAATTCACTTATCTTGGCAGCTGCATCAGCAATGATGGGCGCATAGAAACTGACGTTAGCTCACGCATTGCAAAGGCCAGAGCTGCCTTCTTGAACCTGCGTCATCTTTGGCGACAGAAGGGAGTTTCCCTCCGTCTGAAAGGCCGTGTATACAAGGCCACAGTGAGGGCCGTTCTGCTCTATGGTAGTGAAACTTGGCCCCTTCGGTCTGAAGATCTGAGGCGCCTTCAAGTCTTTGATCATCGTTGTTTGCGAAGCATTGCTGGTGTCGGATGGCACCAGCGTGTCCGCAACGATGATGTGCGTAGGCGAGTACTAGGGGGTGATGATCATGCTAGCTCCCTAGAACAACAGATAGCACTGAATAAGTTGCGTTGGCTTGGGCACGTGCTACGCATGCCTGGTCACCGCTTACCTAGGAGGGCCTTGTTCAGTCTACCAGGTGTCGGATGGCGCAAGGCTCGAGGTGGACAGAAGTTGACTTGGCAGCGGGAAATGAAGTCACTGACGACCAAACTGGGTGCCGTTGGTCCCTTCTCGCCTTCCGGGTTGGAGTCCACGTGACTCACCTTGTGCTTGGCTCGAGACTTTACAGGACATGGCTCGCAACCGACACCAGTGGCGCGTCTGCTGCTGTCTCCTAATCGGATTGCCTGTTTAAAGTGTGTTTGGTGCTGAGTTATCTGCGGAGTAATGGCTGATTATGACGCGTGGCAGTGAAAGCCGCAAGGAAGCTGTCTCGCTGATGCCGCCTTATCTTTGCACGATAGCCAGCTGTTTGTGACGGTATGTTGTCTACACAAGGTGTAGGCGCCTTGACCCTGAATGATTGCTTAGGGCATTAAGGTTTTCAGGTAAGTCCCCCTTCTCTCCCTTTTCTTATTCTTTATTTCATAGGTCCTCATGGTTGTATGGCAGCGAAGCATCAGTTCAAATGGCTGATGTACTGCTGTTGATGATGATGATGATGATGATGTGGACTGCTCCCATTGTTATGATCAAGAAACCCAACGGTACTATTCGCTTGTATGCCGTTTTATCAATTGGGTTAGAAATGCCGCACTTCCACTCCCCGAGGACGTGTTCGCGAGTCTGAATCGAAAAGATACTTTGCTACCCTTGATTTCGCAGCTGCTTATTTACAACTTGAGGTTGAAGCAGAAAGCTTCTTACGATAAACGCGCATTGCGGGCTCGATCAGTACAACCGACTGCCGTTTTAATTCAAAACAACACCTGTAGTTTTTCAACAATTTATGCACGCCATGCTGACTGGCGTACCTTGGATCGCAGCCTATCTGGATGACAATGGGCCGAACTCGAGATGAAATGCTTCGGCGACTAAATGAGGTAGTGCTGAGAATCAAAGATTATGGTTTCCATTTGTGCGTGGATAAATGCATTTTTCGCTGAACTCCATCAACTTCCTGGGATTTGTGATTGTTCAGTACGGCCGAAG